CAGCCAAATCACTTGCTCACAACTTTAGTGCTAGTAGCCTACAAGGTAGAATTTTTGCTCACAAGACTCCACACCTTATAGAGAGCATTGCTGTCATGCCCTATCCCTGAGCCAAGCCCTCAAATGTTGTTTTTTTAAAAAAAACCCTAAATCCTCCACCAAGGCACTCAGACTGAACTGGGGAGTCCCACTTCACCAACCCACCCTTCCCTTTATAACTCCCAGGACTCTCAGATGGGGTGTGGTGAAAGTATAGTATTGGAACCACCTGATCCTCACAGCGACAGAACTTATATCCACCAGGACATTCTCCCATATATTTATCTTATCTCTAGGCAGGTTGCAGTATTAAATGCAACACACATTTGACTCAGGAAAAAAACACAAAATAACAAGTTTATTTAACTGGCCAGAGTGTCTGATTCTTCTCCAAATCTCATCAGAGCTCAATGTCACAAAGTAAGAGAGAGCTGGGTCTTGAGAGTGTATGTTTTTACAATCTATATCCAGAGGTTGATTCGGGGGGGAACGTGGGGGATTGCCGTTCCCCCGGGTGAGGTGCAGGGGGCGGGGCACATGACGAAGCCCCGCCCCCTGCTTCCGGCCGCCCCGCTTCCGGCCCTCATTCAGCCAGGAGGAGGCAGGAGAAGAGGGAGGGTAAGTTGCTTCCTCCCCACCTCTGATGTCAGGGGGTGTGGCATATGCTAATGAGTTATGCTAATGAGTTCCCCTAGCTCTTTTTCTATGAAATGACCCCTGTCTATATCCTATTGGCCACCTGTGGCCCCCTTCTGCAGGCAGCTGAGTCTGTGAACTGGGGCCACAGGGAAGCCAAACAGATTTTTCAGCAAACTTGGGGCACTCCCCAGATTTTCAGGAAAAAAACTGAAATCTTTTAAAAACTCTGTTAGGGGGAGTAATTCCCCCAATCTCTCTCCAGAATTTGTTGGGAGCCTCACTGAGTCCAGTGGAGACGGTACAGCCAGGGAGTACTGCTGGGCCCAGCAGCAGTGGCTATGCAACCCAGGAGCCTTGCAGGGGATGCCACCACCCACAGCACATCCCATGAGTCACCCTGGGCCCAATGGTGGCTGCTGGGCCCGGTGCAAAAGGGGGGGTAGGAAATCCCCTGTGAGTCTTGCAACCCCACATTTGAGCAGCTCCCTAACGACACTGAGAGCAGGAGGGAGGAGAAAGCCTTGACAGGCCCATCCAGAACAGCTCTGGGAGAGCCGGTGAGACCAGAGAGTAGGTGAGGGAAGCCTCGAGAAGCCCATCCGAGGCACCTGCAGAGTGGTGGGGGGAGGTGGGGGGAGGTGGGGGGACTGGAGTCTGTAGGGGATCCTGAGGACCACATCAGGCCCCGTGAGAAAGTGTGGGGGGAGACGGGTTTCCCCCCACCCGAGTATTGCAGGCCCCCACTTGTTTAGTATATTTGAGAAGTTCAGGCTTGTAAAGGTAGAATACATATGAAACGAGCAAGAGACCAGTAGTACCTTAAAGACTAACAAAATATGTGGAAAACACTTTGCCAGAATCAAAGTATTTTCCTGGAGTGAACAATGATTCTCTACTGTTTAGGAAGGTCAATGTTTGTGTGGCTCTATCCTTCCACAGTGCAATAGCATTAAGCCTGTTGAGCTCCAAGATTAGAAGTGTAGTGTATCCAGCCTGACATGTCCGGACATGCCCGGACTGGCTCAGGCACAAACACCACTAGCTTCATGCCAAAAGACAATGGGCCAGTAGGATCCTAGCCAGGCCCAATGAAAGGGCTAGGTCCCCAGCTGGGAGTCCAATAGGTCTCTCGGTTACTGTAAATAGCCTATCAGGAGTGGGGTGTGTGTTTGGTGTGTTTGGTGGCGGGTTTTCTGAAGGAATATAAGCTGGCCTGCGAGCCAGCCAAGTGTCTTTGTTCCTGACTAAATAAAGGTATGCTTAGCTGAAATCACTCTCCGTCCGCATACTTTTCAAGAAAAAACCTGGAACCCAACAATCTATAAATCAATTGACTAAGGGAGGTTGGGCTTTCTGCTTAACCAGCCCAGAATCTGAGTGCTAAATGTAGGATGGGGGTGTTAAAATCCCTCCCCATGATATGAGATAGTTCAAGGGGACATTGAGGTTGGAGAACTAAGCCTGTCAATTGCCTGCCTGCAGCCGGCAACCCCGCACCCCACCTTCAGCCCCAATTTTCTTCCATTTAAAAACTGATGCACAGGTGACAAAATTCCAGAAAATGGCTTTGTCAAGGAGTCCAAGGCTGAACCCCATGGGTGGGAGCGGTGGCACAGGTGGTAAAACGCCTGCAGTAACATCAAGCAAGCAGCCGCTATGGCTGTTCGATACCCACCGTGGCTAGGGTGAGCTCCCGGCCCCAGTCCTAGCTTCCGCCCACCCAGCGGTTCGAAAGCAAAGTAAAGGAAAGCAAGTAGATAAATGGGTACCTACCCTTAGAAGGGGCACCCTCCTCCATCTGAGGTTGTGGTGGGAACATCAGCAGTGGCGGCAGCGGCAGCAACAGCGGCGACAGCAACAACAGCAACAACGGCATGGTGTGGCGATCCCTGGTGGCCAGAGAAACATCGACCAGTGGAGGTGAAAGGAGAGTCGTGGAGAGTTGCGGAGGAGCGCGGTGACGTAAAGGCGCAGGCTCGGCGGAGCCGGATGTGGATATAGCCGAGCCGGAACTGATACGGACCGTGCGCCAGAAACCTCCAAGCTAAGAAGACCTGCCCTGACACCAAGGAAATGCCGACCCCAAATGGACCGCTGGAGAAGCCAGAGCCGAAGAATAGCTACCCCCCACTTGGGTGCTGGTAGGCAGCCCCCACCCCCTATACTATGTGGCCTTAGTAAGGGACTTGAAACTTGCACTTGCAACCTGCCTGTAAACCGCTCTGAGACCTTCGGGTCAGAGTGGTATAAACTGAAACAAACAAACAAACAAATAAATAATGCTTTATTTAATTCCTGTCAAGACAAAAAGTTTAATCTATGAGGAACAGAACTCTCTAAAATCACATATCAAAAAACAAACAAGAAAACTAGCTTAACTATCTAACACATTTCAAGACCTGCATTAGATGCCACAAACCTTAAGTGCAAGAATCAAGGGCCACAGCTTATGCATTCTCTACAATGCTGTCTATTGCAATATAAGCATGGCATAGTCCAGGCCTTCAGTCCATCAGAATCCAAGCTAGCTTCTTTTCCCCCCCAAGCTCTTGACTCAATTATTTTTTTGACCAAGCAGCCTCAGATGATGATGACACCCAATCAGGACATGTTCTTGCTGGAACCCTGTATAAAATTACCTCATCACCCCTGATCCTTCCCTTCCCATCCTATGGGGCACAGATTCTCATGAGAAGCTAATTACCATATTTCCAATTCTGGCCTTGAAGGTGATAAGGCCTGTGTAGGCAGAGACACCAGTTAGCAGTACCTGCAGGATGGAACCAGCCCATTACTGTTCACATTAATCCTTGAGGGTGGTCAGGGGCAGTGTTCCCTCTAAGCTGAGTTAGTGTGAGCTAGCTCAAAGATTTTTAGCCTCCAGCTCACACATTTTTGTCTTAGCTCAGGAAGGATGGCTCCAGAGCAAACCAGTTTATCCAGCAGCCAAATCGCTCGCTCACACCTTTAATGCCAGTCGCTCACAAAGTAGAATTTTTGCTCACAAGACTCCACAGCTTAGAGGGAGCATTGGTCAGGGGTGCTTTTCCTCACAGGCTTCCATACTGCCACTCTAAGAATTTCCCCGTGTCTATATGGTCTTTGCCATAGGCATTAGGTGAAATCCCTATCATGTCACCTGGAAATAACATCACATCCTCCCCAAAGTCCACCCTCTCTAGACACCACCCTCAAAATATCTCAGAATTTGTTGAGGCAGTGTCGGCAATTTTGTGGGGAACACTTCTTTCTGACCACCATTTCTTGACTCTAATTGTGAAGAAGCTCAAGTATCGTCTTGTGTGGAAAGGGTGGAGAGATTAGAGGTTACTAAAATTATGGACAGAATGGAGAGAAGGGGGAATTTGTTTAGAATAGAAAGTTACTCTGTGAAGTTGACAGGCAATACATACATTCTCAACTGACAAAGAGATGAACCTCTTTTTTGTTTATTGTGTGTGTGTGTGTGTGTGTGTGTTTCTGTACCTTGCTTTTCTCCCCAGTGGGGACTCAAACCAGCTCAAAACATGGTTCTTCTACCTTCCATTTTATCCTTTGGCTGAGAGAGAGAGAGACTGGCCCCAGGTGGCCCAGTGAGCATCCATGACAAGATAGGAATTCTGACCTGGGCCTCAATGCACTACACTAGCCAAGGTCCTCTTCACACAAGCATAATTGTCAGATGTCTTCTTTAAAAGATGAGACAAACTACACATTCATGGAGGATGCTTGTTAATCATGATCGCTAACTGGAACCTTCAAGCACAGAGGCAATATCCCCTTAAATGCTAGATTCCTACAACAAAAAAATATGGAATGAGCAATTGTTGGGTTTTTTTGGTACCTCAGGCACTTACCTGCTGCTTATTGGGAAAAGAATGCTGGTTGAAAATAGATTGAGACAATTATGCCTACCCTTTATTTTGCTAATTACCTTTTTGTATTTGTGGTATTCTCAACTGATAATCTCACTCTCTGAACATTGATCTTCCTAGGTGTGGTTTGGAGCTTAGATACTGCAGACTCAGACACAGCTGAGATCAGGTTGGTGGATGGTTCAAGTCGCTGCAGTGGGAGAGTAGAAGTGCTCCATAATGGAACGTGGGGAACTGTTTGTGATGATAACTGGGGCTTCGAGGATGCCATAGTTGTGTGTAGGCAACTGGGCTGTCTAAGAGTGATAGCAGCCCCAGAAAAAGCACATTTTGGAGAAGGAACTGGACAAATATGGCTGGATGAAGTTCAGTGTAAAGGCACAGAATCATCTCTCAGTCAGTGCCTAGCAAATCCTTGGGGAGACGAGAACTGCAGCCATCGAGAAGATGCTAGTGTCATCTGTTCAGGTAAGTTCAAGACCTGAGGGCTTGATTCACACGTTACTTTTGACGTAACTAGGGTTGTAGCAGAAAAAAATATTACCTGGTCACCAGTCTTCCATCTTGGGTACCAGCCTCACTTAGGTTCACTGGGCTGGATGGGATCTAGCAGGACACCAAGTCTTGTTGGGATAAGAAGAGGACACAAGCATGGACACTATTTTATTGAACCTTAAGCAAAATAACAGAAAAGCTCAGAGCGTAGAACTTAAACACAGTGTACACTTGATAACAAGCTAAGAAAGAGAATTCTCTTGATTGCCATGCAGAGGGCCTTAAACCAGCCAGTCTGATTGACAGTAGTTTACAACGGAATATTGACCCTTTTTATACCTTTTTGCAAGATGAAAGACATACATCAAATGTCCTGTGGCAATGTCATGAGGTCATCAATAGCTAGACCCTTCCCCTTAATGACACCATAAAATCATAAACTTTGCCTCCCCAAGGGCTATCAGTTAGGTCAGAGCCTCCGGCCAGAGCCGGAGAGTTATAAACAAAAATATCCAGATATTCAGCCTTGAGGCTTAGTGCACTTGGATAAATGAATGTGATCTATGTGGGAAAAGGGCTCACGGTGTTCAAAGTCAGGCATCACTTTGCTGCTAGGAAGCAGCCATTGGACATACTGCAGTGCTTCATGGGAAGGGACCAAATTCTGCTTTTGCTACATCTATTCAATATACCTTATACATAAATGGCCAAGTCTCCCTTAATCCAAAATTCTGCCACAGTTGTCAACTAGCCAGGAAAAGTAGCATGGCCCAATCCTGTGCCTTTCGTTATCACAGTTTGATATGCAGGAATATGTATATGAAAATTTTCATGGCAAGCTAATGTCTCTGTATCAGTCAACTATTAAGGGCACTGGCCAGAAGCAGGCATGAAAAGCTTTCAAGAGAATGAAATCATTCAGAGATTGACAAGGTAAGATCCATTTGAAAATATTTCTGATCAATGTTCTTCCCAGTTTGATAAATGTTGATATTTACCACATTGGAGGAAGGCATTGTGAAGGAACAAACTACCCAAGGTGGTCAATACCAGTTTCCAGAGAAAACTCATCTCCTTGTGCTTGTTTCTGAATACGACTTTGGAGTCCGGTTGGCCACTGCCAAAGATAGAATGCTGATACCACTGGTCATGAATGAGGACATGAATGCTTATATTATATACTGAATTTTTATTTTTGTTTCTTTTGAAATCTGGAAGGTTTGCCATGAAGGACTGCTGCTTCAGCATTAATTGCACTAGTGGTAACATTCAATTTTTAAAATCTCTGAACAGAGGTAAAGCTGGTGAATGGTTCAACTCCGTGTGCTGGCCGGGTTGAGGTGCTCCATAACCAAGAATGGGGAACGGTATGTGAAAATGGCTGGGACATCAACGAAGCCCGTGTTGTGTGCCGGGAAGTGGGCTGTGGAGATGCTATAGTTGCATCAGGTGGAGCTCAGTTTGGACAAGGATCTGGTCCCACTTGGATTGATGAAGTCAACTGCACAGGAACAGAAGATTATCTAAGCAAATGCCCAGCAAAAAAATTGTCAAAACACAGCTGTGACCACAGCAAGGATGCTGGTGTAGTGTGTTCAGGTAATGGTCATAGAACCCATTGATATGAAAAGGGTCTGTGAAATTATAGAGCTCCTCACCCTGCCCTAAGCCGATCCCAAATAACTTCCTAGGTAAGGCTGGGACAATAGCACCAAGGCCAGGATTGATTAGGAGTAAACCACTGGTAATCTTTATACCAAATATACCCCCTTGGAAGGTTGTTTCCTGGTCTACTAGTTGGAAAACAAAGTGCCTCTTCATCTTCACTTTCCAAAAGTAGATGTTTTTCAGCCAAGAAGAAGGGGAATCATATTGATCACATTCAGTGGGACCTGATAACAAGGCAGAGGTCCAGGGATTGAAAGAAAAAATCCAAAAAGGAAGAGAACAGGACCACATCTAGCTGTAATCTAGTTAGTAATCTCAGAAGCAACTTGAAATCTGGATCCAGCAGAAGCACCCAAGATGGAGTAGATTCAAGCCTCTGCATAATAATATTGCACAGACAGTGAGCTATGGGCTTGGCAAGCAGAGCTAGTAGAGGTGGGCCCCTAGTTTTAAATAAGGTAAGAGAGAGGGGGGGTCCTGGTACAAAGGATGTGTGTTCAGGAGCAGGTTTAGCCTGATGATCAAAGTGGAGCTTTGATGAGGAAATCAAATGGAGAAAAATTGATCTGCAAAACATCGTTCTAGGTAGAGGTAAAATAGATCTGTATCCAAATATAGACATACATTCTGAGTCTGGAAATGATAACAGTGACAAAATCTGTGCACTATAGGCATTAATTACAGGGAGTTTTTATTGATTATCTGAAGGCCAATAAACTGGTCCATTGAAGGCAGAAGGGAATGGGAGCTCAGCTCTCAGGCATCTGCCTTGACCTAGCTTGATGCCACACCCCTCCTAATAAATACTTTATAACTTTTGGTGCTGGGAGTGGTTCTCTGTACCACATAGACCTCCACCATTTTGAACACGTTAATTTAAAATGGTCACCAGGGAGAAGGCAGGCAGCTGGCAAGTGGCTATTCCTCCAAGGGGATACCAGGCAGTAAACTCCCTGTGGTGACCAGGAGCTGGGCAGTGGGAGACACAGAGGCAAGGCCTCAGAACTTGGAAGGGAAGCTAGGAGTCCTGACCCTCCCAGTGGGCAATTCCTGCAAAGGCCAGAGAAAAATAAAAGCCTCTTCAGGTGTGGGGAAAACTTTGGACGGCAGGGTGGAACTAGGGCTGCCAAACTGCAGCGGGGGATCCGTGCGTCGTCACAGGATCGCTGCTGCGGGGGGACAGCGATACGCGTTGCACCGGCATCGCCAGGATGTGATGCTACGCGTCGCTCTGGCAACGGGACTCCAAACAGCCCTGTTGCCAGAGCAACGTGTAGTGTCACATCCTGGCGACGCCGGTGCAATGCGTATTGCTGTCCCTCCACAGCAGCGATCCTGCGACGACGCACAGATCCCCCGCCGCGGTTTGGCAGCCCTAGGTGGAACAGGGCCTGCAGGCCAGAGCATGCCTGTTCTGCCACACATGCTTAATCAACATCTGTGCTAGCACAGATACGAGGTGCCTTATATAAAGAAAGGATTTATACAGTAAAATAGCTCCAAAAATCTTCATTTGTGTTTATTTTCTTCTCAGAAGTACCTGAGATCAGATTAGTGAATGGCCTCAATCGATGTTCTGGGAGAGTTGAGATATTCCACAACAAACTTTGGGGAACTGTATGTGACGATGACTGGGACCTTGAAGATGCCAAAGTGGTGTGTCGTTACCTTGGGTGTGGAGCTGCTTTATCAGCCCCACGGGGTGCTCATTTTGGAGCAGGATCTGTGCCTATCTGGCTAGATGGTGTTAACTGCACAGGGACAGAGAAATCTATCAGTGAGTGCCCTGCAAATTACCAGGTGAAGAGTAACTGTTCCCACATTAAAGAAGCTGGTGTTGTATGCAGAGGTAAGGGGCACTCATGCAAATTTTAAAATGAAAACAGGAGTGTTGCACTTTCTTCTGATTCGGTTATTTTGAATTTCTGTTTCATACCAAAGTAAACTAATCAGGGATCCTGAAAAGACATCTACTTCAGTTCTTTTCTAAGAGAGTAGACCACTTCTCTATCATTTGTTCTCTTCTTCCAAACAAACATCTAAGAGCAACCCATATAGTCCGTATTAAGGCAGGCAGTGCTTCGCCAGGAGGGAATTTTATTTTTGTTTTATTTAGGGTTTTTTTTAATTTTAGCTTCAATATTTCTATATTTATCTTGTTTCTAATTCCCTCCCTTCTGCTTTTTAGAAGAGGAGGGGGAAAGTAAGGGTTTTAATAAGTAAGAAAGTGATTGTTTGATTTGCAATTTTATTACAGCCAGTATTAGAGGTTATACAAACATACCATGGAGTTTTCCTTGACTGGTTATGCTGTTGTCCTGCCAGCTTTCTGTTTGGCTTTGTTAGGGTTTCAACTGCTAGATAATCCACTGTTCTGTAACCTTTCTTTTTTCTTCTTCTTTTAATCTCTTTTTTAACTCACTTGGTGCATATGTGAGGTGGCAAAGATATTGGTTCTTGGTGGAGGTGAGGCAGAAGAGAACAATCTGTTTTTCTGCTGTGTTTGGTATTTATGTTATTTCTTTTTGTTGTTGTTATTTTAAGTTATTTTAAATTACTTCTGGAACTGAGCAGGTAATACAGATTACATTAGGGTACAATGAGAAACAAGCTGGCTGCCAAGAAATACCTACAGAGAAAATATCTTTAAATGCCACAAGCAAGCCAACTATATTGTAAGCTACAAATGAGATTGGAAAGGGAGGAAAATATCTAAATGTCATATGATGCAGAAGTGATTGAGCTGCATCCACTAGTCCATTTCCACAGATGGATTTCCAACCACGGGTCATGACTTTTTGTCTTTACCATCCTGCTGCAGTGCCCAATGCCCCCTGAAATGCTGTCTGTGGGGTTGCTATAGGATCACGTGCAATCACAATGCTTGATTATTGATGATGGCTGTTTTTGTTACTTCTTTCACTCTCTGTGGAGTGGGCATAGGATACTGACTACCAGCACCTCACTGTTATTGGAGATAGGTTGGCCTTGGGGTGCTTGCATTGGGCTGTTGATCTATTGTGAACAGAATGCATGTGTACCTTTGAATGTGATCTTTGATATTTTTCCTGACATATATGCTGACAACTGTCATTGTGCCTTCTCAAGAGTCTGATCATAATATATTTCTATTCAGATCCTAGCATTTGATAGAAGAGGTTTAGAATAGAAGGTATATCTTATGTTTGTATCTCCCTTTTGAAGATGTAAGGATTTAAGATTTGGTATTAATTGTTGGAGGCTTTTAGATTTAATTAGAGAGCAACAGAATGGAATGTGCATTTGCAAGTTGCAGGTTTCCCTGCTGAAAGGCACCCAAGGCCAGAGTCATGCGAAGGAAGCTATCTGAGTGTTCCCAAAATAATAACTTCCCTTGTAAAGCACAGCAGATGGTCCCAGGAAGTCTGCCAAGAGCTACGTTTAATGTGAATCATTGCACCTTATTAAGAACCTCCGCAGTTTTAGGCGGAGGCAAACAGTGTTCTTCGAAGTTTCTCATTGTCCTGAAACCAGATAAGCAGACGTAATCACTGACATTCCTGACCAGTATAGAGGCACACCAATAGAGAGGTGCAAAGTCAAATGATGCTCTGATGATGCTACCTGCCTGGTACCAATGAGGGATTTTTCTCTGTGTAAACTATAACTGATGTCATCTGAGGTATAAGACCGTCTGCCCTTCCTGGGGCAGAATACAGCTTGGTGTTGCTGGGTGCTAAGATATCCAGTCCTGTATTTCCTGTTTCTTGCAATAAACAGATAATATCTAACTCATTGGACTCCGACTGTGTGTTCCTCACCCGGCCCCGGGAGCACAAAGGCACAGATTTGTGCATCATATGCATGGATATTTCCCTGTCCCTTAACTGATTAAAGAGTAAACCATAAAAGAACAATCCCAATTTACTTGTATTTTAAAAGGAAAATCAGCAATTTCTACATTCACATACCATTTATAACTAATCTGATTCATATATGACTTGATATGAGGTACGCATACCACGAGGAGTGACCATTCACTGCCCTTTCCCAGTTCTGGTCCATCTTGTTCAAATTTCCACTCCATATGGTTAATGGATTTCATACGTGTTAGTATATGGGAATTTCCCTGGATCCGGGTATCTCACAGACATGTGTGTTTGTTTGTTTGTCTCATCAGAGGTCCGTCTAATGAATGGTTCAGATCGCTGCTCTGGGAGAGTTGAGGTGTATCGGAATGAACAGTGGGGAACTATATGTGATGATGGATGGGATCTACAAGATGCTCAAGTGGTGTGCGGAGCGATGAACTGTGGAAATGCCTTATCAGCATTAGGAGGAGCACACTATGGCCAAGGATCTGGAACCATCTGGCCCAAAACACTTAACTGCGTGGGAAATGAAACATTCCTCAAAGAATGCCCCAAAAGTCCTTGGGAAGAGCATAGCTGTGACCACACAAAGGATGCAAGCGTGAAATGCTCAAGTACTTTTATATTATGCCATGTAATTTAGGAACTCAATCCTAGGTTTTTTTCCTAGGGTCACTGAGATCACATTCAAGTTTTAGCTTAATTACAGTCAACTAATCTTCAAAGGCAAATTTTATGGACGAAATTTGCATGGTGTCAACTTTCTGAATGAAAAGATAGAGCCACAGGAACTGTGTAAAGTGCGCTCAATGTTTCTTTAATGATAGCAATAATGTTGTAAATATGAAAATTACAAAAGTGATACTAATACACTCAAATTGTAAATCCAGTTACATAAGATAGACGATAACAACGACGGCGGGACGTTGGTCTCCGGAATGTGATGCCGTTTCGACAAACGTCTTCTTCTGACCAAGAATCTATAAGTGGATGATGTATGGAAAGTTGCACTTCAATAGAAAAGCTACCCGATTCACATGGAGTTCAATAACAGTTTCACCTATTTCATTGCACAAGTAATGGAGGAAATTTCTCTCAGACGAAGTAAAGCTTATGTGTTTTCTCCATTACTTATTGAACTCCATGTGAATCGGGTAGCTTTTCTATTGAAGTGCAACTTTCCATACATCATCCACTTATAGATTCTTGGTCAGAAGAAGACGTTTGTCGAAACGGCATCACATTCCAGAGACCACCGTCCCGCCGTCGTTGTTATCGTCTATCTTATGTAACTGGATTTACAATTTGAGTGCATTAGTGTCACTTTTGTAATTTTAATATTTACAACATTATTGCTATCGTTAAAGAAACATTGAGTGCACTTTACGCAGTTCCTGTGGCTCTATCTTTTCATGTCTATGGACTGTGACCATATTTGTCTGTGTACAAACTTTCTGAATGAAACAGGTTGTTGACAACAAATGATGCCAGAGTCATCAGACAACCAGACACATCTCTTAATGGAGACTCAGGTCCTCAGTGTTCCCTCTAAGCTGAGTTAGTGTGAGCTAGCTCATAGTTTTTTAGCTTCTGACTCACACATTTTTGTCTTAGCTCAGGAAGGATGGCTCCAGAGCAAACTAATTTATGCCATAGATAAATCACTCACTCACAACTTTAATGCCAGTAGCTCACAAAGTAGAATTTTTGTTCATAAGTCTCCACAGCTTAGTGGGAGCATTCCCCAGTCTCCTTGCAGACTGATTCCTAAAACTGCCTATAATGAAACAGCCAGATCTGTTTGAAGATTTCTTCAGCTATCAACCCAGGTAGATGGATTATGACCTAGAACCCTCAGCCAATAGATTCCAGTGGTGGTTATTTAAGCAAGCATTTTCTAGGCATCAATGGCTGCTGTTGTTGTTGTTGTTCAGTCGCACAGTTGAGTCTGACTCTTTGTGACCCCATGGACCACATCATGCCAGGGCTCCCTGCCCTCCACCATCCACCGGAGCCTGCTCAACTTCATGTTCTTTGCATCGATAACACCAATGGCTATCACAGAAACATAGAAACCATTTTTTTTAAAAAAAAACAAACCAAAGACACAGCATCATTTATATGTCCAGCAGCGGGGGGGGCAGTGGTAGTGGCGGCCGGGAGCGCTCACGGAGGCGACGGGGCGGCAGCACACACTCCTTCCTGCCTGCCTGCTGGCCCCTACTCCCTCCTCCTCCTGCAGGCCAGCTGGGAGGTCTCCAGCCCCCCCGGGAGGTTGGCATCTGAGGGGGGTGCCGCTAGGCGGCTTCGCCTAGGGCACCCAAACCCCTCGAGCCGGCCTTGCCTCCAGGGGAACTGATCTTGATTTTCTTGAGATCAATTGTAATAGGGAGAGATCTCCAGGTGCCAGCTGGAGGTTGGCAACTCTGGCCTACGATTATGTAATCATTATATTTATTATTACAGCTTGCACTGAACAGTGGCCTATTAGAGAGGGCCTTTCTCTCTATTGCTTTCAATCAGTGAGCACAGGATTTGTGTCTGGGATGAACCCAGAGGCATTATTCTTTTTTGCCTTGAACTTTCACAATAGTCAGCTACTTATATGAGTAGCCATAGCTGACCAGATCCCTTCCCTCAAATATGAATGAGAGCTATTATTATTATTATTATTATTTTGCCTTGAACTTTCACAATAGTCAGCTACTTATATGAGTAGCCATAGCTGACCGGATCCCTTCCCTCAAATATGAATGAGAGCTAGAGAGGAAGAGGTGCTGGTTAGAATGGGTAAAGAAATAACAATTTTTCCCACTGTTCTAGGTCAACTCAGATTGATCAATGGTTCAAATAACTGCTCTGGGAGAGTCGAACTGCTCCACAACCACCAATGGAGAACTGTGTGTGATGATGGCTGGGATATACACAGTGCTAAAGTTGTGTGCAGGGAACTTGATTGTGGAGAAGCCCTGGAAGCCCTACATGGAGCTCAATTTGGGAAGGGAACTCATCCCATCTGGCAGTTTAATGTCCATTGTAATGGGACAGAAGCTACCCTCATGGACTGCCAGCTAATGCCTTGGGGACCAGTCAGATGCAGCCATGAAGAAGATTTCGGTGTAGTGTGCTCACGCAGTTGGCAGGCAGGTACTAGAAGGCACTAAACTGTAGTCCTGGAAACTGACCTCTGTACAGTCATTCCCAATAAATAAAAGTATTTCTACATTTAGTTAAGAGTTCATCCAGGATCTAGTCTCAAGAGCTACATTTTTAAAAAGCCACACGATGGCTGTGGTCACACACACTAAATAACCCACTTTCTAATGCACTTTCAGTGCACTTTCCAACTGTGTGAACGGACAAAATCCAGTTGGAAAAGGCATTAAAGTGGATTATTGTGTGTGACCACAGCCTATGGCTGAGTTCAGACTGGCAGTTTGAAGCGGGAGGGAGTCGTGGCAAAAAAGACCCGAAACAGTTTGATTGGTGCAGTGTGACCAGGTTTTCCCGGTCCCGACTGATGTGGGAACATACCGGGGAGGAGGTGCAAGGGAGCGTTCACACTGTTGGTTGGGATGCGTGGCTGTAAGCGGCTTTTTCTGGTAATCCGGTTATGTGCACTTATGCGCTCATGTGCATAAGCGCTCATGCACATAACCAGATTACCAGAAAAAGCCTCAGTCGATGTTCTGGGAGAGTTAAGATATTCCACAACAAACTTTGGGGAACTGTATGTGACGATGACTGGGACCTTGAAGTTGCCAGAGTAGTGTGTTGTTACCTTGGGTGTGGAGCTGCTTTATCAGCCCCACGGGGTGCTCATTTTGGAGCAGGATCTGTGCCTATCTGGCTAGATGGTGTTAACTGCACAGGGACAGAGAAATCTATCAGTGAGTGCCCTGCAAATTACCAGGTGAAGAGTAACTGTTCCCACATTAAAGAAGCTGGTGTTGTATGCAGAGGTAAGGGGCACTCATGCAAATTTTAAAATGAAAACAGGAGTGTTGCACTTTCTTCTGATTCAATTATTTTGAATTTCTGTTTCATACCAAAGTAAACTAATCAGGGATCCTGAAAAGACATCTACTTCAGTTCTTTTCTAAGAGAGTAGATCACTTCTCTATCATTTGTTCTCTTCTTCCAAACAAACATCTAAGAGCAACCCATATAGTCCGTATTAACGCAGGCAGTGCTTCGCCAGGAGGGAATTTTCTTTTTGTTTTATTTAGGTTTTTTTTAAATTTTAGCTTCAATATTTCTATATTTATCTTGTTTCTAATTCCCTCCCTTCTGCTTTTTAGAAGAGGAGGGGGAAAGTAAGGGTTTTAATAAGTAAGAAAGTGCATGTTTGATTTGCAATTTTATTACAGCCAGTATTAGAGGTTATACAAACATACAGTGGAGTTTTCCTTGACTGGTTATGCCATTGTCCTGCCAGCTGTCTGTTTTGCTTTGTTAGGGTTTCAACTGCTAGATAATTCACTGTTCTGTAACCTTTCTTATTTCTTCTTCTTTTAATCCCTTTTTAAACTCATGGTGCATATGTGAGGTGGCAAAGAAAGATATTGGTTCTTGGTGGAGGTGAGGCAGAAGAGAACAATCTGTTTTTCTGCTGTGTTTGGTATTTATGTTATTTCTTTTTGTTGTTGTTATTTTAAGTTATTTTAAATTACTTCTGGAACTGAGCAGGTAACACAGATTACATTAGGGTACAATGAGAAACAAGCTGGCTGCCAAGAAATACCTACAGAGAAAATATCTTTAAATGCCACAAGCAAGCCAACCCAAGGCCAGAGTCATGCGAAGGAAGCTATCTGAGTGTTCCCAAAATAATAACTTCCCTTGTAAATGCTCAAGTACTTTTATATTATGCCATGTAATTTAGGAACTCATCCTAGGTTTTGTTTCTAGGGTCACTGAGATAACATTCAAATTTTAGCTTAATTACAGTCAACTAATCTTCCAAGGCAAATTTTATGGACGAAATTTGCATGGTGTCCACTTTCTGAATGAAACAGGTTGTTGACAACAAATGATGCCAGAAACAGTCATCAGACAACCAGACACATCTCTTAATGGAGACTCGGGGCCTCAGTGTTCCCTGTAAGCTGAGTTAGTGTGAGCTAGCTCATAGTTTTTAGCTTCTGGCTCATACATTTTTGTCTTAGCTCAGGAAGGATGGCTCCAGAGCAAACTAATTTATGCCATAGACAAATCACTCGCTCACAACTTTAATGCCAGTAGCTCATAAAGTAGAATTTGTGTTCATAAGTCTCCACGGCTTAGTTGGAGCATTCCCCAGTCTCCTTGCAGACTGATTCCTAAAACTGCCTATGAATGAAACAGCCAAATCTGTTTGAAGATTTCTTCAGCTGTCACCCAGGTAGATGGATTATGGCCAAGAATCATCAGCCAATAGATTCCAGTGGTGGTTATTTAAGCAAGCATTTTCTAGGCATCAATGGCTATTGTTGTTGTTGTTGTTCAGTCGCACAGTTGAGTCTGACTCTTTGTGACCCCATGGACCACATCATGCCAGGGCCGCTCAACTTCATGTTCTTTGCATCGATAACACCAATGGCTATCACAGAAACATAGAAACCATTTTTTTTAAAAAAAAACAAACCAAAGACACAGCATCATTTATATGTCCAGCACATATGTTCAGATGCTGTCAGCAATTCTTTAAGGCAGTTTAATATGAGGCTGAGAAATAGTGGCATACCCAAGACAGGGTTGCCAGCTCTGGATTGGGAAATACCTGGAGATTTTGTGTAGCGACTAGGGTGAGTGGGGTTTGGGGAGGGGAGGGACCTCAGCATGGTATAATGCCATAGCGCCCACCCTCCAGACCAGCCATTTCCTCCAGCTTTGCCCGCTGCAAGAGGAGGACGCACGGCGGGGGGACGGTAGGTAGGGGCGGCGCTCCTCCCAGGCAGCTGCTGGTCAAGCACGCCGGCGGCCGCCCCCGCCGCTGCGCGTCCTCCTCCTGCAGCCAGCACAGCTCCTCCCAGCCTGGGACGAGCTTTGCCGGCTGCAAGAGGAGGACGCGCAGCGGGGGGGGCAGTGGTAGTGGCGGCCGGGAGCGCTCACGGAGGCGACGGGGCGGCAGCACACACTCCTTCCTGCCTGCCTGCTGGCCCCTACTCCCTCCTCCTCCTGCAGGCCAGCTGGGAGGTCTCCAGCCCCCCCGGGAGGTTGGCATCTGAGGGGGGTGCCGCTAGGCGGCTTCGCCTAGGGCACCCAAACCCCTCGAGCCGGCCTTGCCTCCAGGGGAACTGATCTTGATTTTCTTGAGATCAATTGTAATAGGGAGAGATCTCCAGGTGCCAGCTGGAGGTTGGCAACTCTGGCCTGAGACCATGTAATCATTATATTTATTATTACAGCTTGCACTGAACAGTGGCCTATTAGAGAGGGCCTTTCTCTCTATTGCTTTCAATCAGTGAGCACAGGATTTGTGTCTGGGATGAACCCAGAGGCATTATTCTTTTTTGCCTTGAACTTTCACAATAGTCAGCTACTTATATGAGTAGCCATAGCTGACCAGATCCCTTCCCTCAAATATGAATGAGAGCTAGAGAGGAAGTATGGATGGGTAAAGAAATAACAATTTTCCCCACTGTTCTAGGTCAACTCAGATTGATCAATGGTTCAAATAACTGCTCTGGGAGAGTCGAACTGCTCCACAACCACCAATGGAGAACTGTGTGTGATGATGGCTGGGATATACACAGTGCTAAAGTTGTGTGCAGGGAACTTGATTGTGGGGAAGCCCTACATGGAGCTCAGTTTGGGAAGGGAACTCATCCCATCTGGCAGTTTAATGTCCATTGTAATGGGACAGAAGCTACCCTCATGGACTTCCAGCTGAAGCCTTGGGGACCATTCAGATGCAACCATGAAGAAGATGTTGGTGTTGTGTGCTCATGTGCATAAGTGCTCATGCACATAAGTGCATCTTTACCAATCGCGGCTTTTCGCGTTCACACTTCCGGGAAGTGGGATGGACGTGGGATAATCGTGCTTCCAGGGTTTGATACCACTTTCACCTGGTATCTTTTAAGCTCGGGAGGGAAGCGTTACAAGGTGGGTTGAGTATGCCTGGGGAACGCCTGGAATTTGTGCCTGTGTGAACTGGCCCCTTTAATCCGTTTGTGAAACATTTCTGAAATGTGCCTCTATTGGGGCAAACTGCCAGTCTGAACTTGGCCTATGTATGTGCATTTTCTCCAATAACAATCTGATACTGTAGCCAACAGTAGAGTAATTACTGCATCGCTAACCCCTTTAAACAGGAGCTGCGGTGGCTCAAGTGGTTAAGACGCTGAACTGCAGGCTGTGGAAGGTTGGTAGAGACCCGAGTGTGCCGCATGACAAAGTGAGCTCCCGTCTCTAGTTCCAGCTCCTGCCAACCTAGCAGTTTGAAAGCAAGAAATTGCAAGTAGATAAATAGGTACCACTTCAGTGGGAAGGTAACAGCGTTCCGTGGGCCTTGGTGTTTAGTCATGCCGGCCACATGACCACGGAAATGTCTAAGGACAGCGCTGGCTCTTCGGCTTTGAAACGGAGATGAGCACCGCAACCCTAGAGCTGGATTCAACTGGCTTTCGAGCAAGGAAACCTTTACCTTTACCTTTAACCCCTTTAAAGTAACTAAAAAATAACAATACATGTGCTGTCATTTTATTACCCCACAACAAGGACACAGTCAATTATTTGAAGGAATCAAGTTCTAATGATCCTCAAGGTTTTTTTGTTCTTTTAATTTTAATTTTAAATCAACCCTCCAAACAGAAAAAAATTAAAAATATATGTAACAAAATATACCAACAATGTGGCAAGTTTACAGAGAAGCATCTATAAAAAGTTTCAAAATATCTACAAAATATGTCTATACACAGTTGTCATCGTGCATCATACATTCAAATGCTGATAAAGTTATCCATTAAATTACTGGAGGTTGGGCATATATCTTTCTGTTGTTGCAGTATAAGGCTTTTAGCAATGGTAAGGGCATGGTCAATTTTCGTTGACCATCAGTTAGCCTCCAGGAGTTAAACAAATAGTTTCAAAGTATGTAAGCATCCTCAAAGATCTTTACTTTATTTACAGTCCATGACCAGAATACAAATAAGTAAGAAAAAGAATGACCATAGCCTTGGTAAAATATAAAAATTAAGGTATACAAATATAAAAATGTATAAAAGTAATTAAAACTAATACAAATGCAGCAATTTCTAACCTAACTACATAAAAATATAGATATAAAATTCAGTCAGCTACTATCTTCCACATTAAATTGGGAAGTATATATAGAACGCAATTTAATCGCTTGTCCTCAAAGATCACTTAATATTCTAATACAAAATGAATATGAGTAATTACTTCCTCCAGTAAAGACAGAATAACTGGACTGAGCCAAATCATATGTCTAAGAAACACATCTTGTAAAAAGCAATGCCAGTAAATAGACACTTTACTTAGACCTCTATTTAAAACATCCTTTGGTGCCTGCTATAAGCTAAACATAATTTTTGCTGACTAAGTCATAGCTTGAGGTCCACAGAAACCACATGTATAAGATTTAGGACTATATCCCATTGCTTTGGCAAAATGGGACAATCTAACTCCTTATCCAATTCATTTCTGAGACTTTGCATATCATAGCTATTAACTGACATTAAAAAATTATAAACAAACATTGTAGGTTTCATTTTCTGTATTGATTCAATAAGACTTTCCAAGAGTAAGGAAGATTCTTGAACACTTAGTGCTGCAGGACCAAAAGATGTTGCAGTGTGTAAATATTGCTGTTCAACATAGGCTAACAAAGTAAAAATCCCACTCTTTGGCCAAGCCTTCCATGAAAAAGATTTCTTTACCATGTTTAAATTTAGATTGGCCCATAATGTTAATTTAGCATTTTAAAGTGGGTTAAATTGATATTGTTGTAACATTGGTCCCGTTCATACGAGGGGTTTTGGTCCAGGAGCGAGATAGAACGGGGGCGGAGCAAACGGGCGCGATCCCACGGCAACATCTGGGAATCATTGCCTGCCCGTCCCCGATCTGTCTCTTCCATGCGAAAACCCGCACTAAAAAGAACCACCTACCTGGGTGGTTTGTGTGAAATAGAGCGCCTCAAACCGGCCGTGGGATCGGCCGCGCGTCCTTGCGCCGGCACATCCCGGCCTCTGGCCGAACTGCGCATGGTTGAGCATGTGCGGTTCTGCAGCCTCCCCCTTGCCTCCGACTCTTCCTCCCCAGCATGTGATCGTGCTGGGGAGCAATGGCACGCGGTGCACGGGATCCGTGTGATCCCGCCCGCGCGTCTCTTTTTTGATGCGACTCTCTTTAGCCGCGCTTTGCCGGGTGTTTTCCCTTCCATGTGGCAGGGGCCATTATAGGCCAAAATTCTTTCACTGCAGAAACTGCAGGACGACCAGGATCTATTTTAGCATGAATAGATTGTAATGCATTCCATTTAAAGAGGAGCACCAGGCAAGAAGCCTCCAAAATAGCCCAAGATGGATAGTCCAATCCCAATAATTAGTACAAGTTAACATGCCTGATGATATAAACTAAGATTAGGAAACCCAAATTCACCTTCATTAAGAGAGAGCAATCCAAGGCTTTAAACCCCACATAAATTCCTGAAATAAAATATTAACATCATGGATATCACTAAAACAGAGGTGTCAAACATGTGGCCCATGCGCCAGATCCAACCCCTACTGGGCAGCTATCTGGCCCAGAAGGAACTGGCTCTCTGCTGCTTCCTGCTTCCTGCTTCCTGTTTCTGCTTTCTGTTCCCTGCATCACAGTTTTTTTCCCAGTCTCTCATATTTCTTGCTTCATAGAGGGGAGAAAGAAAGCCAAGTCTCCTCTCCCTCAAGTGGCTGAGGAGGGGGATGAAGGGGAGGGTGAGAAATGAAGTCCCGTGGCACTTTTAAGACCAACAATGTTTTATTCCAGGTATAAGCTTTTGTGTGCCTGCACACTTCTTCAGAGAGGAGGGAGGGAAAGTGTTAAGTCCGTGCTTAACAAAATAGCCAGAGAGTGATTTCAGCAAAACTCAGGTTTATTTCAGCTCGACGATCAACTTCTCTGACACGGTACAACTCTGATAGCCCGAACAGCTTTTACATTGCAGCTGCTCGGTATTTAAACATTCCGGGCTAATGTAGCCACACCTACTATACACATATCAACCTATCAGGTTGAGCGAATAACAGACCAATCATATGCGTTCCCGCTTACAGACAGTTCAAATGTGATTGGCCACAATGTCTTCGGCGCGAATCCCTGCCGAAGCCTGAAGCTTTGCATAGCTTCTCTATGGGATGATTCACGTTCATCCTAATGCATTCAGGGCAGCATCTGAATACATTACAGAAAGAGCCAAAGAGAGCATGCCAGAGGGAGAAGGAGTCCCATGGTACTTGGAGAGATCCCCCTTTCCAGTTCTAACAGATGGGGGGGGGAGAAACCTAACAGCACAGAATAGCATTCTTTATTAGTGGAAGGGAGCAAGAGTTCAGTAGCACCTTAACAACTAACAAAATTTGTGGCAGGACATGAGTTTTGATGAGTCACTACTCACTTCTTCAGATACAGCTAGAATGTGAGTCCATCTGACCATATGTCTTGGAGAGTGAAGTGATTTCAGACACCAAATGACAATAGCAAGCATTGGTAATGAGAGAAAAAACCTAGGTCTCAATTCAGTCCAGGAGGATGCATTGTCTTGAGCTTCGTTATCAGTTGCAATTCAGCAATGTCTCTTTCTAATCTCCTTTTGAAATTCCTTTGTAAGGTTCCTGCTACTCTTAGTTCAGCAACTGAGCGTCCCGGAAGGTTAAAATGTCCCCCCGCTGGTTTTTTAATGTTGTGGTTTCTAATAGCAGTAGAAAGAGTAAGAGTCCAGTAGCACCTTTAAAGGCTAACAAAGTTTGTGGTAGGGTATGTGCTTTCATAAGTCACTACTCACTTCTTCAGACTTATTTCCATTTATTCTTTGCATTCTCCTGGACTGAATCCTCCTGTACAAAATTGAGACCTAGGTTTCCTGTCTCATTACCAATGCTGATATCTCCATGCCTACTACCCCAGTCCATATCACACCTGATCCAATCATGCCTGCTATTGGCATTTGGCATCTGAAATAATCTTTATAAAGTTTATATCTCCTGTAACTCATATTACATTTTATGGCACACATGGTGTGGCTTGACAAAGTGACATTTAAATCAGATCCGGTCCTCTTAACAAAGGAATTCAACACCTCTGCCCTAAAAGGTAAATGAAAAGGAATTGCAAGTAAAACTTACACTCAAAATGAATATTGTACCCATGTAACTACCACATAAAGAAAAAATTAAGATTACTCATCTGTCCAAATCTAAGGATGTATCAGCAATTAACTTTTTAAAATTTAGTGTAATCACGTGCTTAGTATTTCTGGAAATCAATCGAAAAAGTCCATCAGCAAATACATTCTGTGATATATTGTCTCCCAATGGCTTCAATTCAGATTTTGTCCCATTTATCAACAAATCACAAAAAAGTATTAATCATAATTATTAATCATACAGGAAATGAAGACTGAGGTTCTGAGATAAACCATAAAAGATCATCTGCACAAAGAATAATTTAAATTAATAAAAATTAATTTATCTGAGAAACTAATAAAAATAAAAATTAATTAATTTACATTCCAAAGAGATATGTACAAAGCCATCAATGTTATTATTTTGACTGATAGTACAATCCAGAGGGTCTAAACATATATCCAAAAATAAGAGAAGAAAGGAGACTACTTTGTCTAGTATCTCTCTCAAGTGGGAATGGTGCAGGAATAGTCCTTTATTTGGTGTAGTGGTTAAGTGCGTGGACTCTAATCTGGGAGAACGGGGTTTGATTCCCCACTCCTCCACTTGCACCTGCTGGTGTGACCTTGGGTCAGTCACAATCTCTGGCACAGCTGTTCCTAAAAGAGCAGTTTGTGTCAGAGTTCTCTCAGCCCCAGCCACCTCACAGGGTGTCTGTTGTCGGGAGGGGAAGAGAAAGGAGTTTGTAAGCCGCTCTGAGACTCCAAGTGAAGGGCGGGGTATAAATCCAATCTCTTCTCTTCTTCTGCTTCTTAGAACCCTAGATCCTCAAGGATCACTGAGTGCAAAACATTATGAGCTAATGTAACAGCTCTGCCAGCATACATATTCTGTTAACAGTTTGATTAATGTTCAGGCAGGCCTTCTTCAAATTTTGACAGCAATAGAACACTTTGAGATAGCTGGATAGAAATTTCTTGGATTTCATAAATGCATCTTTTATGTCACTTCTAGAAATGTCTAGAGAGTGCAAAATCTTTTAGACAGAAACCACCCAAGTTCCTGAAAGGAAAATTGTTCAACAAAGGAAAAATGTTGTAACACTACGAAAGAAAGAGAGAGAGAGAGAGAGAGAGAGAGAGAGAGAGAGAGAGAGAGAGAGAGAGAGAGAGAGAGAGAGAGAGAGAGAGAAAGAAAGAAAGAAAGAAAGAAAGAAAGAAAGAAAGAAAGAAAGAAAGAAAGAAAGAAAGAAAGAAAGAAAGAAAGAAAGAAAGAAAGAAAGGCAAAGGTTCCAAAACTCCAAAAAGGGTAAAGTGCCCTAGAAACCAAAGTATTGTCAAACTTTTCAGTTTATAATATAGAATATTTAGAATATAGAATATAGCCTGAAAGAGCCACAATATCCTATAAGAATATAAGCGGGCTAAGAGAGAACCTCCTAAGAGTCAATACAGGGGAAACAGTTCTTACATTTCCTTATGAAAAAGAAACACCTGATATACACATGCTCAGCCCCCTTAGCCGCAAGAGGTGGGTCATTCAAATTCTTGCCAATAACGTTTCCTTGGTGTGCTGCATTCTTCAACACATTCCTTTCTTTCAGTACTCAGAGTGGTGAATGGCTCAAGTCGCTGCTCTGGGAGAGTGGAGCTGCTTCACAATGATCAATGGGGGACCATATGTGATGACCACTGGGGCATGAAAGAAGCTGAAGTTGTCTGCAGAGAAATAGGCTGTGGTGCTGCTTTGAAAGCCCATAAGAAAGCCTGGTTTGGTCAGGGATTAGGGCCCATCTGGAAGAATGACGTCAACTGTACTGGAACAGAAACCTCTCTCAGTGAATGCACATCAGGCCCCTGGGGTTCCAAAGACTGTCACCATGAAGATGATGTCGGTGTGGAGTGTGGAGGTAATCCTTATTTTGTGCTTTGTTTCCAGAAAAGAAATGTCTGTCTGTCTGTTTAGAAGCAATCAATTTTAATCTAACGCCCTTCCTCAAATCCCTGAGATGTGGCTGTTATATATTAGGTCTGGAACATTCCAGGACTATCAGAGATTGGCTGAGCTTGGAGCTCTGGAACAACAGCCCACCAGGACTCTGGAAGTGACCAATGAGAAACGCATGTTATGTAAATAGCCTATCATTGCGAGTTGGGTGTGGTTTTTTGCATGCTATTTAAACAGGGCCCTGGTGTTTTAGTCTTGTTCCTGAAATCACTTAATAAAGTAGAGCTGTTCACTGCAATGCATCTTGAACCCAGTATTTAATACTAGGATTCTTTCCTCTTAGTAAGGAGGGAAAGTTGCCATCTCAACCTGTTTTGGGACAGCTTTTTCTGTCCTTAACAGGGTTAATACGAATGATAGAAATATTTTAAATTAAAATATGGTAGAATTGCTTGTCCTGGAGGAAGGCCTCAATACTCTTCCTGGAAGAACAAATCTGCAGCTTGCCAGCATGGCTGGACCCAGGTCTTTCTTCTCTCCTGGATTCTCAGGTGTAGGCTGTAATAACGGGCTTCACTTTATATGCCAACGGTACCTGGCGCCTCCTAAAAAACCCTTGCTGTTCTTGTGCAAGCACTGATAATCTCTCAACTAGCCTCCTGTAGCACAATACATGTGGAGCTGTCTGTGAGGGCAGTTTGGGATCTTCAGTATGGACATAACATAGCTGACAAACCAGTGAGGACAAGACAAAAGGAAATCAGTCCTACAGGACTTTCATTTTGCCTCCAGGCTAGTAAAGTGCTGGTTTGTAGCTTTAAACCCATGCCCAAGATACCTGCAGGAGGGATGCCGTACTGCAGTTACCCAAATTCTGTCACCTGAATTTCTATATTATACCCACTGTCTGCTAATTCTACAACTCCGGAGCGTAGCTCTATTATTTTGCCAGCCGTGCACCCAAAACTTTGGAGTCTCATTGCTGGGGGTCAACAGTGAAGGGGCTTTGGCCTCCATACTCTGCTGGTAATTTGTCAAGGGCCATCTGGTTGCCCACTGTCTCAAACACAAAAGTAGACTGGATTGATTATATGGATCTGATGGATCAGGGCTGCTCTTACATAGCTCCTAGGCAAATAAAAATTTGGGGAAGGATCAGGGCAAGCTGATCCCACAAGAAGTTCTGGGAGATACCTGATTTTCCCCTCGCCAACTATTTTGTCCTTCTTTTCCCGGACAGCCCCCATAGCCTCTGGCCTTTCCTGCTTTCTTCTCTCTTTTCCACCTATCACCTAACCTACCTTTATGTTTGTCTTCAGGTTTCCTTCCTTCCCTCAAGAGACTCTGCACAGGAAACCGGCTATGGCCCAGTTGTGCAGTGCCAGCCAGTGGTCCAGGCCCACCTGCACGGTGGGGATCCTGCAAGGACTTGAAGGGAGCACCTCATTTCCCTTGTATCCCCCATACACACATATTTCCTCCTGGCACCTTGGATTGCCAGGCCTCACACTATGGAAGGACCTCCTGCCAATCGCTTTTGGTTCCCACCGCCACTTCAAGCTGTAACAGGAAAAATATTTTCCTTAAAAAAAACCTGCCAGCATCCTTTACTGAAAAGTACTGAGACTTACTAGTGATTTCAGCTCACATACTTTAT